AACACACTGATACTGACACTGACTGGCACTGATACAAATTTTTTTTTAAAAAGGTAATTTTTTTTAAATCATGCCCAAAATATACTGACCCTGACCTTTGAACCAGACCTTGACCTTTGACCCAAACACTAACCCTGGCACTGACCTAGATCAAACCTTGATCTAAGTATTTTTTCTTTCTATTATTTTTATTATTATTTATTTTTTTTAACACACAGTTTTATTTTATTTTTTTCTCTTTGCAAGGAGAGAAAGAGTGATACAATGTATCTTTTTCCTCCATTCAGAGAGAGAGAAAACCATGATCTAAGTATTTTTTATTTTCTTTTTTTATTATTATTTTATTTTATTTTAACACACAATTATGTTTTTTTTTCTCTTTGCAAAGAGAGAGATTGATACAATGTATCTTTTACCTCCATTCAGAGAGAGAAAAAACACAGGGGTGGGCTTCACAGGGATCAGAGGCTATCACAGCAATCAGGTTACCCGGAACCAGATGTTCTGGGTCCCGATCGTTACTACAGGACCCGGTGTGACCCCGGTCCCTGTGCTGGAGCGCGACGTGTGGTGCACTCTCAGCACAAAGACAGATACGCATATATGTGGCCCCGCAAAAAAAAATTTCCAGCCCAGTGGGGCCGCATATATGCATACTGTCAGCAGGAAGGGGTTAAAAAACTGGACAGGTGATACATTGTATCAATCTGTCTCCTTGCAAAGAGAAAAAAAAACATTGCTGTGTTTTAAAAATAAATAAATAAATAAATAAAAAATAAAAAAAGAATAGAAAAAATACTTAGATCATGATTTTCTCTCTCTCTCTGAATGGAGGAAAAAGATACATTGTATCAATCTCTCTCCTTGCAAAATGAAAAAAAAACTTAACTGTCTGTTAAAAAAAAAAAAAAAAATAATAAATAAAAGAAAAAAAATACTTAGATCATGTTTTTTTCTCTCTTTGAATGGAGGAAAAAGATACATTGTATCACTCTGTCTCTCCTTCCAAGGAGAAAAAAAAAAATAAAACTGTTAAAAAAAAAAAATTATAATAATAAAAAAAGAAAAAAAAAAATACTTAGATCATGGTTTTCTCTCTCTCTGAATGGAGGAAAAAATGCATTGTATCAATCTCTATCCTTGCAAAGAGAAAAAAACCAAAACTGTGTGTTAAAAAAAAAAATAATAATAATAGTAATAAAAAAAGAAAAGAAAAAAAATGTTTTTCTCGCTCTCTGAATGGAGGAAAAAGATACACTGTATCACTCTTTCTCTCCTTGCAAAGAGAAAAAAAAAATTGAGCTTGACATACACTTTGACGTGATTTTTAAATTTTTTTTTTTTTTTTTTAGAGGGAAGGGTATTACAAACACTACAGGCATGGGGATAAATCTATATATATTATACCCCTTCCCCTAATTTATTTTTAACAATTTTTCCGCTGTGGCTCTGTCCGCTCCAGTGCAGAAGGGGACAAAATTACTTGCCGCAATTCCAGAGGAGACAGCCCGGTCTTTGGGATCTTGGTAAGATATGATTTGACAATGCTTCTCCAACCTCCCCTCCCCCCTGTGTTGAATAGAAATAAATCTCCTCTTGTAGAATTAGAACCGTTCCGTGCTGTGAAAAATAAAATCCTTCCTGTTTATGTTTTTTTTTAAAGAAAAATGTCAACATAATTAAATAAAAATCTATCGGAAGTAGTGTGTGTGCTGCACAAACACACCCACTTCTTGTGGCATTTCAGAGATGTATTCATACAGACTTTACAGTTCACTGTTTACCTTTTACCCAAGATTCACTCATTTTCACATAATGGGTGAATCTTGGGTGAAATTTGGGTGAATCATGGGTGAAAACATTGATAAAGAGTATATGAATTCATGTTATGGGCTTACAGTCACACCAGGGAGAAGATCACTTCCTTTAACCAGTTGCCGCCCGCCTCGTCCCTCCGGGTGGACGCCATATGGCGTCCTTTCAGGAACGCGCATTGCACATGCCAGCAGGGCTGTGCTGCGGTGCGATCTGTCAACGGCCATGTACCTCTGACATGGCCGATGACAGATCTGTGTACCGGCCCCATTGCCAGTACCATGTGATCTGCTGTGACCAACCACAGCAGGTCACATGACAGTTGAATACAATGGATGGCTTCCTTTCATGGCATTCATTGTATACAAGTGTGTCTAGCTGTGAATGGTCACAGCTGTGTCATGTGATTAGCCATGGCCAAATCACAGCTAAGCACAAAAAAAAAACCCCTGAATGAATCGATGTCATTCAGGTAAATGCTTGCTTATAGCAAAGTAATTCTTTGCTATAAGCAAATTGTGTAAAAAAAATACTGATCACTTCCCCAAAGTAGTACAATGTTACATGACACTACTTGGGTTATAGTGAAATATGAAAAGAAAATCTTAAAAAAAGAGAAAAAAAATGTAATAAAAAATTAAAAATAATAATAAAAAAATGATAATTTTTTTTTTCGTACTGTCACCAGTCAGTGTCCCTGATCACCGTCGTGCCAGTTAAATGATGACGCTGTACTGCACTGGTGACAGTATGTAAAAAAAAAAAATAGTGAAAATCATTTTTTTAATCTCTTCAATTTCCGAAAAATTATGACAAAAAAAGTACAACTTCAAAAAAACGCGCCATGCCTGTTATGAAGTACGTCGGACTGTCTACTTTGTAATAAGGAGTCATTTGGGGGATATCTGTACTGTTCTGACATTTGGGGGATATCTGTACTATCCTGACATTTGGGGACCGTCCTGACATTTGGGAGATATCTGTCCTGTCCTGACATTTGGGGGATATCTGTCCTGTCCTGACATTTGGGGGATATCTGTACCATCCTGACATTTGGGGGATGTCTGTACTGTTCTGACATTTGGGGGATATCTGTACCATCCTGACATTTGGGGGATATCTGTACCATCCTGACATTTGGGGGATATCTGTACCGTCCTGACATTTGGGGGATATCTGTACCGTTCTGACATTTGGGGGATATCTGTACTGTCCTGACATTTGGGGGATATCTGTACTGTTCTGACATTTGGGGGATATCTGTACTGTTCTGACATTTGGGGGATATCTGTACTGTGACATTTGGGGGATATCTGTACCGTCCTGACATTTGGGGGATATCTGTACCGTCTGACATTTGTATCTGTACTGTTCTGACATTTGGGGGATATCTGTACTGTCCTGTTCTGACATTTGGGGGATATCTGTACTGTCCTGATATTTGGGGGATATCTGTACTGTCCTGACATTTGGGGGATATCTGTACTGTCCTGATATTTGGGGTGACATCTGTACTGTCCTGACATTTGGGGGATATCTGTAACCGTCCTGACATTTGGGGGGATATCTGTACTGTCCTGACATTTGGGGGATATCTGTACTGTCCTGACATTAGGGGGATATCTGTACCGTCCTGACATTTGGAGGGATATCTGTACTGTTCTGACATTTGGGGGATATCTGTACCGTCCTGACATTTGGGGGGATATCTGTCCTGTCCTGACATTTGGGGGATATCTGTCCTGTCCTGACATTTGGGGGTTATCTGTACTGTCCTGAAATTTGGGGGATATCTGTCCTGTCCTGACATTTGGGGGATATCTGTACCATCCTGACATTTGGGGGATGTCTGTACTGTTCTGACATTTGGGGGATATCTGTACCATCCTGACATTTGGGGGATATCTGTACCATCCTGACATTTGGGGGATATCTGTACCGTCCTGACATTTGGGGGATATCTGTACCGTTCTGACATTTGGGGGGATATCTGTACTGTCCTGACATTTGGGGGATATCTGTACTGTTTCTGACATTTGGGGGTTATCTGTACTGTTCTGACATTTGGGGGATATCTGTACTGTCCTGACATTTGGGGGATATCTGTACCGTTCTGACATTTGGGGGATATCTGTACCGTTCTGACATTTGGGGGATATCTGTCCTGTTCTGACATTTGGGGATATCTGTACTGTTCTGATATTTGGGTGACATCTGTACTGTCCTGACATTTGGGGGATATCTGTACCGTCCTGACATTTGGGGGGATATCTGTACTGTTCTGACATTTGGGGGATATCTGTCCTGTTCTGACATTTGGGGGATATCTGTACTGTCCTGATATTTGGGTGACATCTGTACTGTCCTGACATTTGGGGGATATCTGTACCGTCCTGACATTTGGGGGGATATCTGTACTGTCCTGACATTTGGGGGATATCTGTACTGTCCTGACATTAGGGGGATATCTGTACCGTCCTGACATTTGGAGGGATATCTGTACTGTTCTGACATTTGGGGGATATCTGTACCGTCCTGACATTTGGGGGGATATCTGTCCTGTCCTGACATTTGGGGGATATCTGTCCTGTCCTGACATTTGGGGGTTATCTGTACTGTCCTGAAATTTGGGGGATATCTGTCCTGTTCTGACATTTGGGGGATATCTGTACTGTTCTGACATTTGGGGGAAATCTGTACTGTCCTGACATTTTGGGCCTCAAGAAATTAGATTGGCCGTCAGTACTTCAGGATTGATCAATTTTCAGATATATGCCATAGTTTGTGAACTCTATAACTTTCCTACAGACTGAATAATAAATACTAATTTGGGTTATTTTCACCAAAGACATGTAGCAGAATACATCTCTGCCTAAATTTATAAAGAACAATTATTTATTTGCAACGTGTATTTTTTTCAAACATTTTGCTCTTTTTTTGTTAATTTAGCAAAAAATAAAAACCCAAGTGGTGATTAAATACCACCAAAAGAAAGCGCTAGTTGTGTGAAGAAAATGATAACATTTTAGTTTGGGTACAGTGTTGCATGACCGCGCAATTGTCATTCAAAGCGTGAGAGCGCTGAAACCTGAAAGTTGGCCCGGGCAGGAAGGGGGTAAAAGTGCCCGGTATGGAAGGGGTTAAGGAAACGTTATATACATTGATCATAGAATCTTCTCTTGCAGGAACAGGCTACATTCAATGACATCGCTGTCTATTTCTCCAAGGATGAGTGGGATTACCTAAACAACGAAGAGAAAGATCTATACAGGGAGGTGATGATTGAAAATTATCAGACCCTCCAGTCACTAGGTAAGACGAAATGAAACCTTTTTTTTTTCCTTTCTTTTCCTATGGTCAGATTTTATTACAGGTCTTCATTTTGAAATCACATTGCTGGTAGGTATTTAGGACGTTATGTGTAGACTTGACTGGAAGATGTGTTAGTGGGTCTCTCTCTTCAGCTTTCTTTGTAGTCATTGTCTGGCCTGTACCAACAATCCTATACAGACAGCCATGGAGGAGTTAAGAGGGAGGATGCTATGGTGTCAGGAACCATAAACCTGGCGGAGACAGAAAGTGCAGTTAAAATCACGCCTTTAATGAAATAGCAAAAGTAATACAGAAATGTAACCAAAACAGAAGCCAGGAGATGGATGCCAGAGCGGGTAATCAGATGAGCTAGGGTAAGGAAAGCAGAAGTCAGCGTAGTCAGGAGCCAAAATCAGGAACAGGAATTAACCACCTCCCATCCAGCCATTGTATATAAACGGCCGGACGGTGGCAGTGCAGGGTTGGGTGGCTGTTTATAAATGGCCTCCCCACACCCTGCTGTGCGCGCTCCTTAATTGGCCAATCAGTGATCACATGCAGAGCATTAAGCAAGATGTCACTTGTGACATCATTGCTTACTACGTGTGAAATCTGTGAATGATCACAGAGATCACATGGTACAGGGCTATTCACAACAGCCTTGTACCATGTGACAAGCTGTGACCAATCACAGCTCATTCAGTAGTTCTCAATGGCTGCAAGAATGCAGCCAGAGAGAAGGAGAAATGATTGCATTTACATCCTTTATGGGTGTAAAAGCAATCAGTGTAAAAAAAAAAAAAAAAAAATCTTCATCACCACCCACAAGTAGTACAGTGTCACCATGGTGACACTGTACTGCTAGGGTGACAGTATGTAAAAAAAAAATAAAAAAAAATAATAATATAAAAAAAATAAAAAAAAATGTAAAACAAAATGTTTAAAAATTATAATTTTTTGGTTATAAACTAATTCGGGTTATTTTTTTTTTTACTAAAAATATAATGGAATAAATTTTGGCCAAGACATGATGAAATACTATTTATTCGCAAAATTTTATAGGAAAAACACTTTTTTTTTTAAACTTTTTGGACTTTTTAATTTACATAGCAAAAAAAAATCCCAGAAAAATTCGTATGGGTACAGTGTTGCATGACCGCATAATTGTCATTCAAAGTGTGATAGCACTGAAAGGTGAAAATTGGCCTGGACAGGAAGGGGGGGGGGGGGGGGGGGGGGGTGTCCGGACTGGAAGTGGTTAAAATAGAAGTCAGCCACACCTAGTTGTACACAGGAATACAGGCAGGAACACACGGGAGATAATAGACCACGCAAGGGCAAGAAGGAAAAGAGCTAATCCGCAAAATAGCAAAAAGGGTTGGCTGTGGGCTGGACTAATGAGACAGGTAATGGTATCCAGGTGAGTCACTGTGTGGCTGGTAATTAAGCGACAGCTGAGCAGCTTCTGAGGACCGAAAGAAAAGGACTGCTTGTTAAGTAGCAGGAGCCCAGCTCTGACATATGGGCCAGGCAGCTGATGTCTAATGCAGAAAATTCAGTTCAGGTGTTTCCAGTGGAGGGTGATTTTAATTCTGCTGCCACGGCTGCTGTTAGAAATCAGCCTACCAGAGCCCCTGCGTGGGGCTTTGTTGAAATATCAGGGGTCTAAACAGACCCCTGATGTCTCACTTTTGAGACAGAGGAAGGGACTGAGATATAGATTCCTCAACCCCTTTGTCTGCTGTCCTTTGAGCCATTTCCCTAAACAACCACGGTGATTGCATGAGGAGCACGCTCAGCTGTTAAAGCCTAATAAAACTTTGTCTTCCTTGGAGTCTCTGGTCAGATTTTTACTTAGATCTGGAAAAAACGAGTGTCTCAGAGAATGTATTCCTACTACTGAGTGTCAAACAGTTTTCGATAAAAGGTTCAATAAAAGAGTCATTCATCCCATGTTTATGCAGCTTCTCATTTTTCTAGATCATGCCATAGCTCAATGTTTCTCAAACTTTTTTCAGTCGAGGCACCCTTTACCAGTTGTCTTCCCACCTATAGCAGAGGTACTGCTACAGGGCGGCACGGCTGCACAAAATCACGTATATATACGTGATTTGTATTTCCCGGTAGGGGGCGCGTGTGTGCCCTACCCATGCTGTTATTGGCTGCTGGGGATGTCAATCACTGGGTCCCGGCTAGCGATTGCTGTCTGGGACTCAGTGATCGTCGGCAGGGCTGACAGGGGAGAGATATGTGTGTACACAACCAGGGGCGGACTGACCATTTGGAAACTCGGGCACTGCCCAAGGGCCCGGGGTCTGTAGGGGGCCCTATGAGATGCCCCTGGTACCTTTTTCATAAGCTTTTTTGAGTTTGGGCAAGGACACAGGGGCCCCATGATCCTCTATTGCCTGGGTGCCCCATGAGTTGTCAGTCCACCCCTGTACACAACACAGACCTCTCTCCTCTCAACGTGAACATGCTGCTTTGTATTTGCACAGCAGAGAGATACAAAGCAGCATGTCTCCCTAGTAAAACACACACAGCACACAGCTAACCATTTGATCGCCCCAGATGTTAACCCCTTCCTGCCCAGTGTCATTAATACAGTGTCAGGGCTTTTTATTACCACTGATCACTGTATTGGTGTCACTGGGGATATCAGTGTCAGTTAGTCAGTGTCAGTTAGTGTCAGAATGTCCACCACAGTCACGCTATGAGTTGCTGATCGCATAAAAAAAAATTCCAATATATATATATATATATATATATATATATATATATATATATATATACCGCCATTTGTAAACGCTATAACTTTCACGCAAACCAATTAATTTACACGTAATGGGATTTTTCTTTTAGCAAAGACATAGCAGAATACATGAATTTATGACAAAATGTGATTTTTAAAATTTTTTTTTACTGGATATGTTTTATAGAAAAAAAAAGTCAAAAATATTGTTTTTTTTTCAAAAACAAGAGCAAAAAATAAAAAACAAGAGCAGAAAAATAAAAAAAAACGCACAGGTGATCAAATACAGAAAGAAAGTTTTATTTGGAGGAAAAAAGGGACATAAATTTAATTTGGGTGCAGCATTGCATGACCGCGCAATTGTCAGTTAAAGTAATGCAAAAAATGGCCTAGTCAGGAAGGGAGAAATCCTCTGGAGGGCAACGGGTTAAAATAAGCCCTCACTGGCCTGTGTACATGCAGTACTGTGCTGCAATTCATATCCATCTTCAATCTCTGCATCTACACTAAGTTAGTGTTTCTCAACTTTTTTCCAGTCAAGGCACCCTTTAAAATTATGGACAATCTCGAGGCACCCCATCTAAAATGTACAAAATGTATCCAATAGGTTTACATGTTGCAGAAGCATCTACACACATAAAGCACCCAACATAAGTCACCAGCTCTGTGTTTATACTGGCTGTGGAGTCAATTCTGGGAAGAGGGAGTAGGAAGAGCTAAGCTCATGAGTCCCAGGTGTACTGGTGACTTATTATTTCAAGGCAAATACATTTTTGCACACTGGTACTGACTAGCATCCCAGCAATTTTTCTTCCTCATTTTTTCTTCCCCATGCAGCTAATGTGACCCCAATACTGACAGATTTTATGTAGGTGCATAATGTCCTCCTTATCAACCAATGATGTCAGTGGCTGTTTGAAAACCTGTGGCTTTGTGTAACAAAAAACCAGGCTTGATTCACCCACTGCCCTGTACACGAATTGTGTCCAATTTGGAGCAAATGTTAGTCATTTTGCAAAGACCCCTGAAAGCACCACAGGGTGCCTGGGAACCTTGGTAAAAAAGGATGATTGAAGTTCACCCGTTTTCCCACCCTAAGGCTCTGTGTTTATACTGGCTGTGGAGTCAATTCTGGGAAGAGGGAGTAGGAAGAGCTAAGCTCATGAGTCCCTCCTGGGAGGCAGGATCAGCAGGAGGTGAGCTGCTGAGTCCCTGCTGGAAGGCAGGAGCAGCAGTAGGTGAGCTGCTGAGTCCCTGCTGGGAGGCAGGAGCTGCAGGAGGTGAGCTGCTGAGTCCTTTCTGGGAGGCAGGAGCAGCAGGAGGTGAGCTGCTGAAACCCTGCTGGGAGGCAGGAACAGCAGGAGGTGAACTGCTGAGTCCCTGCTGGGAGCCAGGAACAGCAGGAGCTGAGCTGCTCAGTTCCTTGTGGGAGGCAGGAAGAGCGGTAGGTGAGCTGCTGAGTCACGGCTATGAGACAGGAACAGCGGGAGGTGAGCTGCTGAGTTCCCCGTGGGAGGCAGGAACAGCGGGAGGTGTACTGCTGAGTTCCCCGTGAGAGGCAGGAACAGCGAGAGTTGTGCTGCTGAGTTCCCCGTGGGAGGCAGGAACAGTGGGAGGTGAGCTGCTGAGTTCCCCGTGGGAGGCAGGAACAACGGGAGGTGAGCTGCTGAGTTCCCCGTGGGAGGCAGAAACAGCAGGAGTTGAGCTGCTGAGTTCCTTGTGGGAGGCAGGAGCAGCGGGAGGTGAGCTGCGAAGTTCCTTGTGGGAGGCAGTAACAGCAGGAGGTGTGCTGTTGAGTTCCTGGTGGGAGGCAGGAACAGCGGGAGGTGAGCTGCTGAGTTCCCCGTGGGAGGCAGGAACAGCGGGAGGTGTGCTGCTGAGTTCCCTGTGGGAGGCAGGAACAGCGGGAGGTGAGCTGCTGAGTTCCTGGTGGGAGGCAGAAAAAGCAGGAGGTGAGCTGCTGAGTTCCTGGTGGGAGGCAGAAAAAGCGGGAGGTGAGCTGCTGAGTTCCTGGTGGGAGGCAGAAACTGCGGGAGGTGTGCTGCTGAGTTCCTGGTGAGAGGCAGAAACTGCGGGAGGTGAGCTGCTGAGTTCCCCATGGGAGGCAGGAGCAGCGGAAGGTGAGCTGCTGAGTCCTGGCTATGAGGCAGGAACAGCGGGAGGTGAGCTGCTGAGTTCCTCCTAGGAGGCAGCAATAGTGGGAGGTGAGCTGCTGAGTTCCCCATGGGAGGCAGGAACAGCGGGAGTT